TGGGATGTCTCTGCAGAAGGGTGCAAAAGCCATTCTGGTGGCACCAGGCAAATATGGGAGAGTGCCCACTCTAATGGTGTGGGGGAATTCAAAGAGGCTGTGTGTGCGTCTCTTAAAGTAGTCCTCAAACAGCTGAGTGCCACCTCCCCCCTCCTTTGCTTCCTTTTTAGTCAGTGGGGAAGGCTCTGGTCTCCCACTGTTGTGATGATGTTGAGCAAAAGCAGCAAGTTTCCAGCCTGCAGTCTTGCAAGTAAACTTTTTTTGTTGCACAACTGGGTGGTACTTTCACAAAGGCTGGAGGGGAGAAGCAGCAATCCTAACAGTGCTGGGCAGAGCAAAGAGTATGTGTAAGGAGTGCACCTGTGCAGGTGCAGTGATCTGCTCTTGTAGTTTATGGAGTCACTAAACCCCTATGGAATTTGTCATCTGTGCTGTGTTGCACTTATGGTTTATAGAAATCTGGATGTTTTGGGTTCTCTTGAAATAGTGTTTACCTTGCTCTGGGGCTCAGCCCTCTGTGACCAGATGAATTCATTTGTTAAAATGCTTCCTGCTTATTCTTTTATCCAGGGGAAAATTCCCAGTCATGCCTGCCAGTGGATGGCCAGATCTCCAGTGGACATAAGTAATAAATAGAGGTCCTCAACTGATGGAAGGTATTCCAGGGCTCAGTTTTAATCTCAGTATTACTGGTGCAAATCAGGAGTAAGTAAATGAAGTTATTCTGTATTTACATCAGAGCAAATGAGATCAGAAGGCCCAATTCAGACATATCACAGGCATGCTTCCCCTCTTCCCCCCTTGCCTACTACAGCCTGGCAGATGCTGCTTCTGGGCCTATGCTGGGCTTCCAGCTCATGGCTTGGGAGTTGGCAGCCTTCTGTGGGGCTGGTCGCAGGTAACGGTTAACCTGTAACCATCACCTGTTAAAGGAGCGTGTGTGATACAAAATTAAAATGCCAAAACAAAGCACTCTGTTGCACCCCTGAGGAGATGATGAGAGAGCAGATGTATGACAGATGTTAGTCTGAGTGCCCTTCTGGGAGGTGCTTAGAGCTTTATAAAACCTATAGAGAACGTACCTTCTCTGGTGACTTACAGTTGCTGTCTGTATCAATAGTTAAGATATACATTTTAAACTGTGGTTCTGTTATTAAAAATTACATGGCAAAAAATGGCTTCATGGATTACTCTGCACTGATTGCTGCAGAGCATATGTTCAGTTTCCTTGTAAAAAAGCATTTTCCAATTGCATAGCTTTGCAAACTCAGCCAAGTTGTGCTCTTTGTGTCTGAGTACTACACAGATCAGTAGGGTATCAATAGGATTGCACCGATATGAAGAGATAGAATACTAGGACTGGAAGGGACCTCGAGAGCGCGACCAGGAACAGCTAACAGGAGAGTTTGGAGAGGGAGTTCTCCAGGTAAAAGAGGAGTAAAAACGGGACCCTTGTGGTAAGTGGCTGTCTGGAGTGTGTGTTTGTGTGTGGGGGAGTTATTTGCAGTGTGCTGAGCTTGTGTTTGTCTGGATTGTTTGTTTGGTTGGTTGGTTTGTTTGTTTGAAGGAGCTTCTAAAAGGTTTGAAATCTAGAAGCCTCTGTTAATTGGCTGAGCCTCAGTCAGGGGGAGGGGCTACCAGAGCTATATAAGCCTGTGACTCAGCGACCAGG